GCCTTAAAAATCCTAAATCCTAACCACAAAAGTCCAGGAACGCCTCAAATCGATTTGGTCCCTGAACAACTATTGTGGCAAATAGGATGAAGATCACTACTAAAAAAAGAGTTGAAAAAAGTGAAAAACTCGTGAACTTATGGCCGGTCAACCAAAATCGGTCTCACACTTTCCGGCACTGCACCTGTCCAGAAATACGCTGCTTTCGTGCCAACCTCGACCAGTCCAGTTGGCGTTCCCCGCGAAATGCCAGTCATCTGCACGAACGAGAGGGTACCGCACCAGTAGTATCGAGGCAAGAACGGCGTGCACAGGTCAAATCTAGTCAGCACAGCAGTGTCTCTGTGTTTCACACGATAGGTCTCCACACGTTTTACTGATGTGCTCAGATGAGCAGGCAGCGCGTTGGCCTACAAAACTACCCATCGTGTTGTCGATGCTTCAGAAGGATGAGGGTTCAAGAACTTTTACAATCGGAATATAATCAACAGACTCACTGCCATCTTCCGTGACCCAGACGTCGTTGTCAGGGTCCGGAGTGTACCCTCCAGCAAGCACCATTAGCTCCGTCGACACTCCGCTGTGGTTGGTGGCCTGGAGAACGTCAAGCGTGTGTCCGAATCGAGCATACCACGGCGCCAGGGCACCAGGGTCAACCGCGTCGAAATTTTGCAACTGAAAGTCCCCCGTCAGCTCGTTGCTCTGCATCCACGTCTGCCCATCTGGCGAGCTCCACACGTCCCCCCTTCTGTTCTGAAACCTCAAGTTGTAGGTCTGGTAGAGCTCACCCCTACCACCGACCACCCAGAGCCGGTCCTTGAACACAGCTGCCGCGTGTCCTGCAGTATATAGTCGTCGGATCGCGAGGTTACACACTTTATACAGCATTTCTTGTACATATGCTGGGGCGCACACGAGTGGTTCGACAGATCGACTACACTCTGAGTCATACCGGCAGCGGAACGTCCTATTGCTGTACGCAGGGGACTACAGCAGTTTTCAGTAATTTTCAGTGCAACACCCGGCGACGAGGCCGGCAATCGCACATCACTGCTGTGCATACAAGAGTACAGCAACAGTTCGCAAATCATGAAGAAGTTGACCGCGTCTTTGATGCTCCATGTACTGCTGTAGTTGAGCCCCATATTTAAGCTATACACTCTATACAGCTGTGGTGGCTGTTCGTTGCCCAAGAAACGAAATGAGCCGTAAAACTCGTCCCACTAGAGGGTGGTGGTACTGAAAGTCTTCGCGCCCGCCGTGTGTCGCCCCACACAGCCCACAGCACGGTACGCGTACAGCAGATACATGTAGTAAATCAGTTCCGTGCTTACCGCCACTATGAAACACATACCGACAGCGACCTGGCAAGCAAGCAAGCACCGCGCTGCTCAACTGCGGGCATACATTGGACAGCAGCCGTGCACGCTCTCACCGTTGCGACCTGAAAACGAATCATCAGCTTCCAGTTGGATCCAGCTGTTGGCCGCGGACGTGTTGTATTGCGCTGCTCTCACTTTGGTGCTGCACGCCGCGAGGAGAGCAACACGAAGAGCAAGGGGAGTCCGTATTCGAAATGTCGAGTTCCTTCTCAGCATCTGGTGTCACCTCGGTGTCTCGCCCGCTCTCGCGGGGACGCGGTCACACACTCACCGCTCAGGAAAGATCGTAGGTTGCTCGCGATGTTTGCTTCACCAAAACACTGGATTTTTTTTTGCAAAGCGTTTCAGCTGAGTCTCGAAACTTTTTTTTGCTCGCGCGCGCGAAAATGCGGTGTATTTCTCGAAGACGTCATCCATAAATTCAAATCGAAACGGAACACAAGGCACCCGATGATTGGTCAGCAACGATGGAATTCAAATTGTTGTTCTCACCGTGAACCACGTTCCTAGAAATTTCTACATGGACACAACGTTGTTGCCCCTCTGCTCTCGCCGACGCTAACGACGGGGCAAGGAGCAGGTATAGGTGATCCACGACACTTTTGAGGGCTCTTGTCTCCCCATTTGTGCTGTCGAAGACCCTTTTGGGCGGGGTTTAGGTGTAAGTTCAACGACGACACCATCGGGGACATTTTTAGCATCCCAACGTGCGTGCGTGTGTGCGTCGAACTTGCATCTTGGAGATACTGCTGTAGTCATCATCCGCCAGCTGTGTGTAGTCAAAGAGGCCCCTTGCAGATGTACGCAGGCCCCGTGCCGACATCCGCACTGTAGGTATGCACGGGCCCGGGGGCGAAAAGGTTATATTGTAGGCTTGGAAATCCTTGCTGAGGTGGTTGTTGTGGTACGTTCTCGAATTCGCGCATTCGGCCAACAGCACGCCCCGTTTTACTCAGCGGGCGATCTTCGCCCGTGTGTCTGTCGGGGCGCGCCCAGCAATATAGTCTACGCAAGAGCTAGACAGAAGTTGTGCAACTGCTGTGTGCCCTCTTGGTGCTACCGCTGCATATTTTCGCAGCAGCAGGACGCGCTACGGACACATATATATCTTTCCACATTTACTGCTGTGCTGTACACTGCTGCTGCTGCCGTCTAGACTATCTGCTTCTTCTGCACACAAACAGGCAGGCATCGCGCGGGTTCTCCTTCTATTTTGCGATTGTGTAATGTCAGCGCTCGGTGTAAGACATCTTGCCGCGTGCCTTTCAACGGTCCGTGACAAGTGTGACACCCCACATGTGCCGATCGAGCAAAATCTGAGAGAAACTGCTATGCAGATAACCACCTCTTGCCCACGCGGTGGCCACAGCAACAGCAGCAGTAGTTCATAAGACGGTAAACAGACCAGAATTGGCCCTTTCTAGGACAGAGACCTGACGCCGTTGTTAACGTTGGCCACTAGGTGTAACAATAAAAGTAACGAGCGCCAAGCACACGAAACGATCGTTACCTCCCACGTGGCACGCAATACTCGCACGACCTTTACATTTAGGCTGTACTGCTGTGTGCAACCGGTGAACAACCTTGTGCTACGTGGACGAAAATATGTTTCCACAAAAATATCCTGGTGACAACAGCGTTCATTCATGCCGAGAGGCTTGATATTTTGCTGCAAAACAAAAAATACCGGCAGGACTTCTTGTACTGCGGAGGCAGTAGCCTCAAGTTCATTTTGGCTGTTGTCGGGAAGCCTGGATGGGTCAAGTCCAACGTATAGCCTAGACTACATGTTTAAACCGGTTGTGACAAAAAGGGGATCTTGTTCGTCGTGCGGGTGCCATACATGTGTCTCGCTTGTGGATAGGTTGACCGCAACGGATACAGCTGCAGAATAGAAGTTCACAACACCATTTTACCACTAAATCTGATATTCGAACGCTATTAATACCTACCGCCAAGTCGATATGCCTCTCCGGATACCGGCCTCCTCGTGCTGTGCATATCTCGAGGCCAAAAGAACAAAGAGCTGAGTTTTACGGGCACGGTCTTCTACCGACGTCGAATGCCCGCATACATAAAAGGTGCACGACAGCAGGGCAGTGAGTGGCGTTCTCGATGAAACGATACACTTCGAAGTATTATTGAGACCCATGGTCGGAACACTCGTCCGTGCAGTTAAAAAAACTATACGCAGAAAAAACGATTCCCACCTGTCGAGACGCCTGGGCCATTGTTGCGCACGAAGCTACGAGGAAAAAAACGATACGTTTGTTGTATTATATCGCCAGCTCACTACTGTACTCCGCAGTTCTATTTTCTCGCCCTGTACGACCTTGCTTCCACTATTGGTGACGAGCTCCCATCCCGGATCACACAGGAAAAACACGTTTCAATGCGTGCACTCTTTCACAATATATTCGCACAGCCCCGAGGAGGTTAATAATGCATTTAGAACACAACCCGTGCCACTATCGGTCGGGCGGGTTCGTGTTCGTTTCTGCCAGGCCAGACCTCTTGGCTTCGTAGCTGCTTAAGGCAGCCAGTCTCTTTTCCAACCCCTTGATTAACCCTACGTCCGCCAGCGCCTAACCAAGAAGCGTTTGCAGACCACCGATCGCACGTCATGCGGTACCATATCATTCATGCTAAAACTTCTTTTTCTTTTGCCGCTTTTACGCCTGGAGCGAAAGAACAGGAAACGACCACCCCTCCTCCTCCCTATCTTCTCTGCGTCCCTCCCACACCTCAGCGATAACAACCAATAAAACAAGTCTTTCGGACGGATGGGATCGCCAAGAACCCCCGCCACCTTAAGACCTACAAAAAACACCTACCCTCTGCTCTGTTCGTCCCCTCTTCGAACAAACACACTTTGCAGCTACGTATGACCCTCCAAAAGAAGCCTCCACACTCATTGTTTACTCGTGTGTTGCGTCCCGATTTATTCCTCAGGCATATATCTGTAAGCTCGCAAAATTAGAAACATGGTCCTTGTCGCCCAATCTCGAGACGAACAAGACCGGAAGCGTACCGTAGTGCCTTCTTTCAACTTTCTCGCCAACTGAACCCCCAACATTGTACTTTACCCGTTCCCGAGTTTTTGTTGCTTGCTTGTGGTCGAGCAGCCGAGGTAGCCCGAACACAAGACTATTCCACCAGTATACCGGACGCCTGCCCGTATCCTCGTAGTACCCGGCCCACCCTACGATGCCCCGCGAGCAAATGTGCTAAAAGAAAAAAAAGGAAGCGAAGCGATTCGAGTGTAATAGGAAGCGGGGCACGATCCGTCTTGGGGCGGGGCGCGCTTCTCCCCAATACGCTCCCCGCCCGGTTCCTGTTACTCGTTGGCTCGAGGGCACAGAAATCTAGGACAACAACAATACCAGTATCGCGTCGCTCTGGCCCATGCTCGATTAACGTATTGGAAACACCGCCTGTAAAACATGACTTCCCCTGCAAGATCAAAACCAAATTCTCATTCTCCTTTCACCCACCCTCCGCGCGCACCGAGCTGCATGGTTCTAGTGAAAGCTCTAGTCATTGCTCCCATGCGCTCCTCGCGTGCCCATCCATCACGTAGGTCGCCAACGAAACGGGCCTACTGGCTGCCGACGATGTCCTTGAGCCCTTGCAGCACCTCGGCGGCGCGCATGTCGTCTTCTTCTTTGGGTGGCGATCTGTTCTCGATACCAAGGCAAGGCACGGACAGACCGAGAGCGAGCGGGAGACCGACGCATTAAGACCAACACGCGTCGTGAATGAACTATCTGCATGCACAAGATTCCGGTCCTAGAGAAAAAAACACAAGTCCTCATGAAACCCTCCAAGCCAATGAACGTGCTGTGGGTAAACGTCTTCGCAGCCACGAGAACCTGCAGTGGCAATGCCTCGTTTCTCTTCCAAAAAAAAAGCAAACGATAACATACTTAGTCTCGTACCATGCCCTCCATTCAACTTGACCACCGGTACAGTAGGCGACGTCCGCTTTAAACACGAAATACAAAGCTGGACAAAGCCGTAGCGCCAAGCACGGACAATCGCCAACGGCAGGAGCAGCAACTGCACCTGCAAACATGAGCGCCCTGACCCCCCTCTCAGAACTCCGCCACAGACCCACGAGGCCCCGACGGGAGCCAACTCCCCCCCCTCTACGACCAACGGCAAGGTTTACCTTGCCAGCAAGACGAGGCCAATAATCTTACTTGGAATTTCCCTCCGCTGTCGGCGTTCTCTCCACGCCGCCGTCAGCTGCTGACGAACCCACGGTGGTCACCCTGGCCCTCGCGGCGCGCTTAAGCTTCTTCAAGCGTGGGCTCGGGGTCTGGCCCGCGATGTCGTCCCTGCCGAGGTCAAGCCTCCGCTTGCTGTGCGCCCCGCCGCCGCTGCCGCTGCCGCTGCTGCCACCGCCCGCCGCCGCACCGGAGGCACCACCCCCGGCGAAGGCGCTCCCGCTGAGCGGGGAAGACGGAATGCTACCGCTACCGCTACCGCCACCACTGCCTCCACCACCGCCGCGCGCGGACGACGACCCTGAAGGGGTTGCTGCTGCCGCTGCCGCGCCGGCGGCGGCGAGGAAGACGGCGGGGTCGGCGCAAAACTTGAGGGCACTTGTGCCCGTACTCGCTTCCATCCTGGCCTGGAGGTTGGCGATCTTCTCCGACGTGAAGGAAGTGTGGTCCCAGTCGCAGTCGGGGTGGGTGCATCCTGAGGGGGAGGAAATGGCAGGGAGGGTTTCGAGTGGTTGTGGTCGGGGTGAGCACCGCGCGAGACAGACGAATAGGCGGGGAAAGAGGTCGTAGGGAAACGCCGACAGAGTCAACTCGGCTCATGCCGACCACGTCCATATAGCTGAACCCACCCACAACACAAGTATGCGCGAGGCACCGAGACAGCAACAGAATAAACAGCACTCGTGAGCTATGCTTGCTCAGCGGGTGCAACACTCACTGCCATCACCGAAACGTCGTACGGAAACACCTTGCCGTGCGGCGCAAACTATGCGATCGCCGCCCTGCTCGGCAATCTACAAGGCACAGCAAGACGGGGACCAGTCTCGTGTACATACACATTTCACCTTCAGCGATTAGGGAGAGCAAAATCTTTGAAAACTTGCGCGACTTGGTGATGGCCTCGTCGCCGATGTCCTTCTTGATGACGCCGACGATGCGCGCGTCGATCTTGCCGTCGAAGAAGTTTGAGTGCCGCCCAGTGTGTGCCTCCACCTGCTTGTCCATGGCCAGGCGGTACATCGCGCCCGCGCCGCGCAGCGCGATGAACTTGAACACGTTCGTGAGCGTCAGGGTCCGCCCTTGCCTCGGGAGGTTGTACGTCGCCCGGTCCCGCGCCGTGGCGCTCGCCACCACCGCCGCCTCGATCAGCCCCAGCTGCTTCACGTGGTTGTCCGTGTAGTTGCGGCCTCCGACGGAGGACCGCGGCAACGGGGCCGCCCGCCCGCCGGACCTCCCGCCGCCTTGGAGAACCTGTCGGGGTCTCGGGGCAGCGACCTCCGCCCGCGGGCTCGGGCGGCCGGCGGCGACGGCGGCGACGGCGGCGGCAGCGCTCATGATGGGTGGCGGCGCAGACCGGAAGTTCATCGGCACCGGGGAGACGACTGCGCCCGTGGTCATCTGCGGGGTGCAAGCACCCGGCAGGGGCGAAGAGGAAGGGCCCGACGAGGCCACCGCCGCCGGGCCTAGCTCGTACGAGCCCTTGGGTGCGGCGGCGCGCGTCCTCATCCCGAAGCCCTCGCCCGCTCGGCCGCCGCCTCCTTCGTGTCCGCTGCCGCCGTCGTGGGTGGACACGCCGCCTTCTTCCCCCCTGCTCGCGCTCCCGCTGCCGCCCCCACCCGCGCCCGCTGCCCTCTTCTCCGCTCCGGCCGTGACGACCCAATCGTGGGCGTTGTGCTGGCGGCGAGCGTCCGGGGGAACTCCGTGCCCGTGCTCACGCCCCACCGAGGCGGGGGGAGAGTGGCGGGGGCTGAGGCGCCTCCCTCCCTGCGATTGGTGACCCTCGAGGCCGTCCATTCCGGCACCCTCCGTCCGATGATCATGGTGGTGGTGAGGAGGAGGCTGGGAATCGGGGCTTTCGCCGCCGCCTGTCAGCTGGGGAAACCTGCGGCTTCTCAAGCGCGCCGGGTACCTCGAGGGAGAGTGTTCCCTCCCCCTGAGGCTGTTGTTGCCGCCGCCGCCGCTGCTGTCCTCGGTGCCCGGCACCCCGGCCGCCCCCGCCCGGTCGGCGTGGTGATGGACGTGGTGGAGGTGGTGATGGTGGTGAGAGGTGGTGTGGGCTGGCGTCTCGAACGCCCCCGGGCCCGCCCGAGACACCGCCAGCGACGCGATAGCGCCCTCAGCGCCGCCGTTTACTCTGCGAGAAACGGCTACCCGCCCCACCGCCTTGATCGGCGCCGAGGGCTCCTCCCCGCCGCCGCGCGACGACGACTCCTTGGGGGTCGCTCCAGGGACGTGCTGAGGCCACGCCGTGCCGGCCGCGTTGTTGGGCGTAGCGGCCGCACCGGAAGGGGCAGCGGGGGCCTTTGCCCGGCCGCCCTTCGCCCTGCCGTTGGCGTGGGGCGTCGAGTCTTTCCTTCCGCCTGGAAACGGGGAGGGTTCTCGCCCATCGGCGGGGCCGGAGGAGGCGGGGCTGGAGCGCCCCTCCGCTCCGGACTGGGGACCGTAGAACGACGACGATGACGCGCCGTTGCTCTGCCCGCTGCCGCCGGCGGTTGCTCCAGCGCCGCGGCTGCTGCTGCTACTGCTGCTTCTCCCGTTGGAGCCGCAGAGGGCGTCGCGCGCCGCAAGGAGCGACTGGAGGTGGACGCTGAAGGCCTCCGCCTTGCGCCAGTCCTGCGCGCTCATCGGGCAGCACGGCCCCGGCGATATCGTGCCCGAGGAAGAGGACGAGGACGATGACGACGTCGTCGACGAAGGCGACGAGGACGCCGCCGCGTTGAGCACCTCGTCCCAGCCGTGGGCGGCGGCGGACCCCCGGCTGCCCCCCTCGTTGGCCCGGCTCATGACGTGGGCGAACAGCGTCATCAGGTTCGGCGGCATCTAATTTTTATATACACGGTGCCCCAGGCCACACAAAAAAGCAAGTGAGGCACGCAGGCAAAAATAGTGCGGGAGGGGGGAATAAGGAAGAGGTGCGGGAGGATAGACAAGAAATTGGAGTGGAGGAGGGAAGGGAGGGCTCCGTGTTGGGATTTAGGGCGACCGCCGTGTACGCGTACGATTCGGAACCCGCGCAACCGTCAACCGTCAAACAACGGTCCTGCCGTTGCGGGGATAATGAAAGAGGTGTAAGTGCTGTCTGGCATGCGGTACTGGATGGTTGGCCAGTCAAGGTTTGGCAGCCGGCGTATTATGTGTCATCTTTCCCGCTGCTGAGACGTATGGAACTCGTCAACAGGCATGGCTGCGCAAGACCGCCTCTGCCTGCCGTGTACCATAAGACAGCGAGTGCAAACAGACGAAAAGGATCTTACCATCCCCTAATATTTTAAGGAACAGCACAGTGAGCATTGCGAACGGTGACGGTTTCCTCTTGGTGCAGCCACCATCTCTTCGCCCGGCTGAAACCAAAAATTTGTGGTAGTATTAACACATCACACGGCAGACGGCGAGAGTTTGAGCGTCTACAGGTGAACCTAAACGTCGTACGACGCCGGTCACCCGGTTGTCGTGTGTATTCAGAGTGAAAAACTGCTGCGCGCTGCTTGATGGCTGGTCGGGACCAGAGACAAAAAGTCGCAACACCTCTAGGCTTGCAGGGCTGCGACATCATGCTCTCTGACGCCCGGAGGCAGGGGCAGATCGGCGGCAAAACAAGGCGAACGAAGGGCGCACACATCCTCCATGTGATGTCATTGGCTCCACATCGGAATCCGCCACATACTCCGCCAGATGCAAATCCAGAGGCGGCCGTTTTCAGCTACACGATGCAGCCCGCTCTTTTTCTGGGCTCCCCAAGGCCGAATAACTAACATTGTGCCCCTCGTGCGCTCCGCGCACTTGACTGCTGCCTACGGCAAGCGGGGTGCGGGAGACGAAACCGGCCGGTGTTCACTCTACCATGTGCCGCGTGCTCTACTAAACTAAGTATGTGTAGCTCGCATCACCTGATTTGTCTTGTCTCGAATCCGATCCTTGGGATACATTTTGGATGCAAGGCAGCACGTAGCTGATCACTTGCCCTTTGCAGCAGCAACGGCAGCGGCAGTGGCAGCAGCAGCGGCAGCAGCTAGCCCAAAGCGTTCACGCGCTCATGTGCCCGAACAGCACTGCGGGTAGGGTGCTCAGGACGTGTAGATCGGCACCTGCGACACAGCAACGTCCGGGCGTAAGAAGGTGTGCTGTGGGTGTGTGTTGGTGACAAAGCCAGAGCGACCCTCCCTTTGGACATCAAAGGCCGAGGCAAAGCCACCAATAAATTGGATCTCTCTCGCTAAATCGCATATAAAGCAACGCGCGTGCACGGCGCCGACGGCATCTACTGCACTTGGGGAAGGCCTACTGGTCGCTGGTAGGCGCCGTGAGGGCCACAAGCGCTTGTGCTCGGTCCGTGAACACGGGGGCCTCCAAACGCGATTTCACGAAACGACGAGACTCGAACAGGCAGCAGACACAGCTTGGAAGCCAAAATGGTCTGATTATGCACAGACGCTTGCACCACACAGTCAGGCCAGGGCGGAGCGCCGGCCACCAGCAGCACTTCTGCATAGACTACTCCCCTTGTCCGTGGGTGTGAGGGCGGGGGGGGGGCGTGCCCACGCGCCTTTGCCGGCGCGTGACTGGCAATCATCCTACGCTGTGGCACCTGTGTGCGTAAATTCATCAGAGAGAAGATCAGCCAGCACACAGCAGCGACTTCGGCGACCGAACACAAACGCAGCAGCAGCGGCAGCAGCGGAAGCGGCAGCGGCAGCGGCGGTATCCCGGGCTCACCCGCAGTCTGGAACTCGTTTGCCGTTGGTGAGCGCACCCGGGAGGCTCCTACTGTATGTTGACGTCGGGTCGGTGTATTGACTGTGCGCTGTGTAAGCGTGTAAGCGAGAAAACAATGGGGAGAGAGCGGGGGACAGAGACAGCAGAAAACTGGGGATACGCAGACCGCAGGCGAGAATGAGCACACTACACCTGGGGAAGTGGAGAGGGGGGGTCCGTGCGGGAGGAGACAACGCAACCAGTGCAACGCAACAGCGCTCTGTCTCATCTATCTGCTCTGGCATCGCCAGCAAGTGCGTGTGTCCTCGGGTCAGCCGGTGTGTCTGCTGGACATTGCTGTACGCACTGTTGTGCGCACAAACTCTGACGATCCTGCCCTTCGTTGCTCGAGAATAACCATGCCGGTGAGTGAGTGTGTCGTGTTCGGTCGGGAGCAGCAGGGCATATGCGCATGTTTCCTGCTTCTGTGCATGACCCGGCGGTGTCGATGTACCTGTCCCTCATCATCCCCTCTCTCTGTGTTTCTCTCTCCGGCACCTCTTTCATTGCGGGTCTCATTGTGTTTGTCGTTTATGTGGCGCTGGTGACGATGACGATATGATGTTGTTGCTCGTTGCCGTTGAAAACCCGTTTTGACGCAATGTAAGATACCCCGCTCCTCGGGCTGTTACATGTACCGGTCGCCCCGGTGGTCTAGTGCGTGGCCTCGCAGCCTGCTAAGGGCCAGCTCATGGGTTCGAGTCCCGACAGAATGAGTTTCTTCTCGCTAATTAAATCCTGGTCTCCGTTGGAAGCGACGCGCTGCAAAAGCTCGTTGTCAGTTTACTTGATCGACTTCATAAGTCGCGAGGGAAGGGATTGCTGTACCCTTCTCGCGATAAAAATATCTCAGGGAGGAACCGCAGGAGGTGGTCCAACCCCCCCTCCTATGTGACCCCGATTGGGTCGTCTAGCTGGTAGAAGTGGAGGATAGGGGCCAGAGGGGCAGACGGCAAAGTCCAATGATGGGAGAAAAAAAAAAAATATATATATATATATATGCAGTGTAGTGCCGGCAGGACAACGAGCTTTTCTATTTCGCTCCGAGAGATTCCCTCTCTCTCCGAACACTCTGCTGCCCTCGGCGTGATTAATCTTCTTGTTTTTGTGGAGAGCTCGGGTGTCGAATCGGGGCGGGATGGGGGCGACAAGCTGCTGTGTCGCACGAACACACATGACATGAAGACATCACGCACTGACACATAATGTACTCTCCCGCGTTAACGCGTTGTGCCATGCCGGACCGTCCTTCATGGGAACTCACCACATGTTAGGCTGTGCGAATTTCGACTGTCCTAATGGCGGCTGCTGTGCCTGCCGCGGTTGTTGGCTTCTTGGCGCCTTCTGTGCATACCAGTGCGCGACGCCTCCAACAGCCCGCAGGTTTGAGGATGGTGAGTCAAGTATCGCACGGTGGAGCTTAGAAGGTACACCTGCCGTATTGCACGGACATTTCGGTGTGTCATCCCCACGCACCCACCCCCATTTTTAACGGAGTTTCAGGCACGATTAATCAACAGCAGTGCGGGGTATACTGATGTACGCCGTGTTGAGACAATTGTCTAAAGAATTATCCATATTCCAGTCGAGGAGCTGGTGTGGCTCCTGCATACCTCCGTGTCAACATAAGGGAGTTTGGCGTGGTGCGGTCACGTGCAGCACCAGTCTGCCTTCAGCAGGTCCAATTGCCGCCAGCGTCGCGCTCCAAGACGACCACCGATTAGTAACAGTTATCCCACGCTCTCAATCCATGTTCCAGGTTGTCGGCGTGTGCCGTCTCTCGTCCCTTTGGAAACAAAGAGAGGAGGGTGGGGAACAAGAGGAAGCTTTCTACACGAGTTCAGCTCCCCAGTGTACTCCTGTAAATAGTGTCTTGGGTGCTATATCCTGTTCCCTCTACTGCACCTCATACCTGAATATCCTTCAACGATGGTAGAACGCGATTTTCGTGTACTGGCTCTTTGAGGGTGTTTCCAGTTGACCCTGCCCAGCTGTAGATAGCCACATATATACCTCGACTATTTTCTTCGGTTTACGCATGCATGAAATTACTTCGTTGGGGCAAGACTATCCCTAGTACAAAAAATATTGGTCCTCGCCTCCTGTGGGAAGGGCCGTGAACTCCATAGCACACTGATATATATCCCTTTTACCTCCCATCCCTTTTCTCCGCGTAGCATAAACACCTTCACAACTTGCAGCTCGAACGAAATTGCGGCCTAACTTCTTGTACTCCCCGGCCCCGCCACCAACCCACCCTCACGCCCCCCCCCCCCCCCCCC